GTGATAATAAGGGTACGTTCCTTGCTTTGGTCTGTTCTGAGGTTAATTTAGCTTCAGTACCTAGAAACACTTGGTGGTTAGACTCTGGTGCTACTACTCACATAAGTGTTTCTATGCAGGGTTGCCTGAGCTACCGAAAGCCAAGTGATGTTGAAAGACACATCTTTGTGGGCGACGGACAATCGGTAGATGTGGAAGCAATTGGGCACTTTAGGTTGTTGTTAGGAACTGGTTATTATTTGGATTTAAAAGATACTTTTGTAGTACCGTCTTTTAGACGGAATTTGGTTTCTGTTTCTGTATTGGACAAATCAGGTTATTCTTGTTCATTTGGAAACAGTCAATTCAGTTTATCTTTTAATTCAAATGTTGTGGGAACCGGTTACTTGAGTATTTATGACAACCTATATTTGCTTGATACAATTGCTTCTTACAATGAATCCTTGCATGTGGAATCACGTGGTACTAAGCGTAAATTAAATAAGGAAAATTCGGCGACATTATGGCATAAGCGCTTAGGTCATATCTCAAAAGGTAGAGTTGAGCGTCTTGTGTCTGATGGCATTTTGGATTCCCTTGATTTTTCGGACTTCGACGTATGTGTTGAATGTATCAAGGGAAAACAGACCAAAGTGAAGAGATTAGGTGCCAACAGATCTTCGGATGTCTTAGAATTGATACATACGGATATTTGTGGGCCATTCCCTACGGAATCCTGGAATGGTCAACAATATTTTATATCATTCATAGACGATTACTCACGTTATGGGCACCTATATCTTATTCATGAAAAATCTGAGTCTCTGGACATGTTCAAAGCCTATAAAGCTGAAGTTGAGAATCAACTCAACAGAAGAATTAAAACCGTCAGATCTGATCGTGGTGGTGAGTACTACGGTAGATATGATGGTTCAGGTGAACAACGTCCAGGACCATTTGCTAGATACCTAGAGGAATGCGGTATCGTCCCACAGTACACTATGCCGGGTTCACCTAGCATGAATGGTGTAGCTGAAAGACGAAACAGGACTCTTAAGGATATGGTAAGAAGTATGATTGCTCATTCTTCTTTACCAGAGTCACTCTGGGGAGAAGCACTTAAGACAGCAGCTTACATTCTGAATAGAGTACCAAGTAAAGCAGTTGCTAAAACACCTTATGAGCTTTGGACTGGTCGAAAGCCCAGTTTAAAGCATTTACATATTTGGGGATGTCCAGCTGAGGCAAGGCCTTATAGGCCAAATGAAAAGAAATTGGACTCCAAAACAGTTAGCAGCTACTTTATTGGGTACCCTGATCGCTCTAGGGGCTATAAGTTTTATGATCCCACTATAAGGAATATTTTTGAGACGGGAACAGCAACATTCTTTGAGGATGTTGAGTTTGGGGGGAGAAATAAGGTTAGAGACATTAGTTTTGAGGAGGAATTGGCTTCAGATCCAATCCATACAGTTACTTTTGACAATATTCAGGTTCCTATACCTGTTGTTGCTCAAGAAGTAAATCCGGAACCTCAAGATGATAATGTTGAACAACTCCCTGTTCCAGAAGAACAAACTCAACAACCTCAAGAACCAGTGCCATTAAGGAGATCCACGAGAGAAAGGAGAAATGCTATTCCGGATGATTATATTGTATTTCTCCAAGAACATGAGGAAAGTAGTGGAATGTTAGAAGATGATCCAATCAACTTCTCTCAGGCCATGAAAAGTTCTAACTCTCAACAGTGGATTGATGCCATGAATGAAGAGTATAAGTCTATGCAAGACAATAAGGTTTGGGAACTTGTCCCATTGCCAGAAGGTGCAAAACCAATTGGTTGTAAATGGATTTTTAAAACCAAGCGGGATGCAAACGGTAATGTGGAGAGGTATAAGGCGCGTCTTGTGGCTAAAGGCTATACTCAAAAGGAAGGCATTGATTATACAGAGACTTTCTCTCCGGTTTCATCGAAAGACTCTTTCAGAATAATCATGGCACTTGTTGCTCATTATGATCTTGAGTTACATCAGATGGATGTTAAGACTGCATTTCTCAATGGAGACATTGATGAGATGATTTATATGGTGCAACCAGAAAACTTTGTGTCAGGAGACCCAAAGAATATGGTTTGCAAATTAAGGAAATCCATCTATGGACTCAAGCAAGCTCCTCGTCAATGGTATCATAAGTTTCAACAAATAGTTATCTCGTTCGGTTTTGAGATGAACATTGTTGATGACTGTGTATATCACAAGTTCAGTGGGAGTAAGTATATTTTTCTGGTTCTGTATGTGGATGACATCTTGCTTGCCACTAATGATATAGGCATGTTGCACGAAACCAAGAGATTTCTATCAAAGAATTTTGAGATGAAAGATCTTGGGGACGCCTCTTTTATATTAGGGATCCAGATACATCGAGATCGCTCTCGGGGTATTCTTGGATTATCACAAAAGAGCTATATCGATAAGGTACTTAAAAGGTTTGGCATGCAAGATTGCAGACCAGGTGACACCCCTGTTGCTAAAGGAGACAAGTTTAGTCTCAATCAGTGCCCTAAAGGTAACCTTGAAATTCAGGAAATGCAGAAGATTCCTTATGCTTCGGCTGTAGGAAGTCTAATGTATGCTCAGGTATGTACGCGTCCGGATATTGCGTACATTGTTGGGATGTTAGGCAGATACTTAAGCAACCCTGGTATGGATCATTGGATAGCAGTCAAAAGGGTTATGAGGTATCTTCAGAAAACAAAAGATTACATGCTCACATACAGAAAATCAGAGAAATTAGAGGTCATTGGGTATTCGGACTCTGATTTTGCTGGATGCCAAGATAGCAGGAAGTCTACATCAGGCTACATTTATATGTTAGCAGGAGGAGCTATATCATGGAAAAGTGTCAAACAAACACTAGTAGCTTCCTCCACTATGGCAGCAGAATTTGTAGCTTGCTATGAGGCATCCAATCAGGGAATATGGCTGCGAAATTTTGTCACGGGACTGCGCATTTTGGAAAATGTTGAAAGACCACTAAGGCTATATTGTGACAATAAATCTGCAGTAATGTATTCCAATAACAACAGGAGCTCAACTAAGTCAAAACATATTGACATTAAGTTCCTGGTTGTGAAAGAAAGGGTACAGAGTGGACAGATATCCATAGAGCACATTGGGACAAACTCCATGATAGCTGATCCTCTTACTAAGGGATTGCCACCTAAGGTCTTTCATGAGCATACTGCTCATATGGGTGTGGTATTATTTGAGGATATTATGTTTTAGTGGGAGTTTGTATTTGTGGTGCTTTATGTTTGTTTGTATTGTCTGATCAGAATAAAGTTTTCAGTTAAGACACTCTGTTACATTATGTTTGGTTTTGACCTCACTAAGGAGGACCAGTTGAAAATAGACATGTATTGATCACATTGCATGTAATTTTCATGCTGCACATCCATGATTGATCTATGTCATTTGATTGTATTGGTATATGTGACCATTGATGGGTCGAGTCACGATAAATGTGACGAAGGCCGCTTTGATCCTATATTGATATAGTCAATGGACGAGATTGTTCGGAAATACCTTTTCAGTGATAGCATTTTTTGAGCTCATAAGGTTATACACAATTTAAGGAATCATATGGTGCCCAAGTGGGAGATTGTTGGATTTAATCTAATAAATCTATTTGTGGGCACATATGATTAATCAATGTGTATTGCTATCTTTCAGGATAACCCACTAAAGTGATCAATTAAGTTGGGTTAATTTGGTATTTAAATAAGTCATGGGGTTATATGTGCAGATACCAGGTTGTAATTGTGATTTATTGAGGGGCTAAATTACAAAAGTACAATATCTATAAATAAGGGGTTATGGTCCCTAACCTAGGGTTACATTCTCTAATTCTCTACACCCCCATCTAGCTAGAGAAATTCGGTTTTAGAGAAACCCTAAGGTTAGAAGATCATCAAAAACCCAAATCAAGATTTCATCCATGGATTCAGGTATAAGCTTCCGCTCTTTTGATTATTGTTAATCTCTTTAAATTAATCATGGCTATATGGTTTTAGATCTCAAGTTTTGATTTAAATCTAACATTCTATCCCCAGGACTAACCATATTTTGTGTCATTGGAAAATATTTAACGAAACGTAACCATGAAAAAGGAGTACAAGTGAGTAAAGGAAACATCTTTTTAAAGAGATTGATTATTATGTGTACAAAATAGGAGAGTAACTAACTATCCATTTCTAAGATTGGCGTACGAAGAACTGTAATACTCACAGTAATATTGTTATACTTTGGACATACAAAATCACATTGATTACTGAAAACCTTGCTAAGTCTCTATATTTCGGTGGTTGCCTTTCGTAGCTTTTGTTCCTTCTTTCTTCAATCCGTAGTTTAATTTTATATCGTGTTAGCTATCATTGTGCTAGCGTTACCTTTCTTTCTTCAATCTATAGTTTAATTTTATGTCGTGTTAGCTATTGTCGTGTTAGTCATGTAAATAAGTCAATATATAAAACTAAAATTCTCAACCGTTGTCGTGTTAGTCATGTAAATAAGTCAATATATAAAACTAAAATTCTCAACCGTCGTCATAACTTTAGGATTTGCTGCAATTGCAGGGCCATTTGATTCAAATCTCACCGAGCACTAATTTCCAAGTGATTTTAGAAAATTAATACCCCACGTGCGAGTTCAATTTTCCGGCTATAAAAAATATATATATATAACTTGAACGTAACTTCGAAGTTTTGGTCTGGTTGCATCCTTGAGTCCAGAGTCCGAACACGGTCCCGAGCCACAATGTTGCGGTGGTCAGTGGGCCCAGCGGCACCGCAGCGTCCAGAGTCCGAACACGGTCCCGAGCCACAATGTTGCGGTGGTCAGTGGGCCCAGCGGCACCGCAGCGGGGTTCCGTTTTGGATCATGCTGTCCTCGCGCCTTGCGTGTCGTTACCGAGGCCTCACATCTTCATCACACTCATTTTCTCCTTTTTCAAAATCCCGAACTCGGAAGCCAATCAATCCTCTGCCCTCTTCCTTTTTTGCTCCTCCCCTCAGCTCCACTCTTCCTCCCTCCTTTTGTTCCTTCATTTTGAGCTTTTTTTTTTTTTGTAATTGTGATAATTCATCATGATGCTGATGAATTGCTACAATCATAGCCCTGCTACTGCCACAACTTCCAGCGATTTGTGTTGGAAGAAAACCATATGTAATAATAACCCTTATTCCCTTCCTCTCATCTCTCGCAACGATCCCCACCGCGGCCGCCACCGCCGCGGAGCCCGTGCTCGGCCTAATAATCACTGCCCGCGGAGGAGGAGGTGCCCCGGCTTGTCGTTAGTGTGCTCCGTTGCCCCGCCCAAGTGAGGCGCCCCTTCCCCTTTATCTCAAATATTTAGTATTTTGAATTTAGTCCCTCGAATTGTTGAAACTGCTGTTAGGCCCCCTGATTCTTGTAAGCTATTTCGAATTAGTCTGTCACTTGTAGCTTTTCCCCCCTCCAATGCACTGATTGGGTGCCGTTTGGCAAAGGGTTAGGTGAGGGGTTAAGAAGACTTAACCCCTTCTTAACCCCGTCAAATACGGAAAATCTACGGAAGGGTTAAAAGCGAGTTAACCCTCTATTAACTTGTCAAACGCAAAAAGTGCAGAAGGGTTAAGCTAAACCCTCTAGAGGGATTAAAATGGGTTAAACCCCTCGAAATGAGAGGTTTGCTAATACTTCTATTTAGAAAGATTAAGAGTTAACCCCTCTAATTATAAAGAAAATAGTCCAAATCCTTGTTATTCCAAACACTAAAAATGATCACAATAGCTAAAATAAAACTTACATGATGGGTTAATAATTTAGTCATTCGGATTATCGAATGGGCTAACTATATTAATTATTCTCTTTAATCCCTCTAGCTTAATTTAGTCCTACGGTTCAAAATCTACTTGTCACGAATTTAAAGCAGATTTTCCAAAACTAAAACTGTTGCATGAGTCTAGGTTTCGATCCATAAAAAGAGCGCTCAGCATGTGTACTGGCAATGGACTTTAAGAATTAGTGATTAGAAAAGATGATTATTTATTTCTTTAGCCTCACTTAGTTACATAACTGATATTCCATGACAGAGTTAATTTAAAAGGAATATACCCCCAGTCAAGTAGCAGCAAACTAGAGACTGATTTGGAGTAATCTGTAAGATTTGGGAACCTCGTTTTCACTGATTTGATGGTGTAATTTCAAAATATTGAATATTTATGGGACTTATATTGTGAAAAAACCCAATCTAATGATATAATCCAATTTCCTCTTTTATAAATATTTAGTTATGTCCTACCTTAACTAACTAACTAATTTCATTAACGTTGCACTGGTGGCAGCCAAGTCGAGTCGCCTGTCGTAACCTCTGAAAAGCCCCCGTCGAATGCTACAGCGACCAGGCGTGAGTGCTTCGGCGTCTTCTGTACCACTTACGATCTCAAGGCGGTAACTTACATGTCTACCTCCTCACTAACTATTTTAGCTCACTCCATTCATGTCCATCCTTTCATTTAACTGTTAGTTTTTGATGTATTACTTACTTACATACGGTGTATTCTTTTGGTGGTTGATACTTGGTAGGACGAGAAAACAAAGTCATGGAAGAAACTGATTAATATATCAGTATCAGGGGCAGCTGGGATGATATCCAATCATCTTCTCTTCAAAGTAAGTAATTGTTTTACACTCTGCCTAATTACCCTTTTCAGATTTCTGCTTAATTAGCTCTTACGATTTCAGATTACTCTGTAATAACAGATACCACGATGTCGAATATGTTAATTTCTGTAATGAAATGGTGATTGTTGCTGACTGTTATGGTTTATGATTTCAGCTTGCATCTGGTGAAGTTTTTGGACTCGATCAACCTATTGCCCTGAAGTTACTGGGTTCTGAAAGATCATTACAAGCTCTTGAAGGTAAAGTTGATTTGACTTCTAAACCGTAAGGTAGACCATCGGAAACTTTTAATCTCTATCGTTAGCAAACTGTTCAACAGCATGGAATTTCATTGTTCTAATAACTATTCATCGTTCACGTTATAGTTAAGTTCCATCCATCTGATGATCTAACGCTATGCTACTTTCATACGTTGGTTGAAATTTGTTACTTCCAACTATTCTGATAATTATAGTTTTATTACGTATATGTTTGAAGTCTAATATAAAAGTTATTGAATTGTAGTCATGTCTTAACCCTTTTGAATTTGACAGAAACATGAAGCTTAGCATGATTTGAATATGAAAATTAATTTTTCTGGCTTTGATTATTTACATATGCAGGAGTTGCTATGGAGCTTGAGGACTCATTATATCCTTTGCTAAGAGAGGTAAGCATAGGAATCGATCCTTACGAGGTGTTTCGAGATGCAGAATGGGCACTTCTCATTGGAGCAAAGCCTCGAGGTCCAGGGATGGAACGTGCTGATTTGCTAGATATAAATGGTCAGATTTTCGCAGAGCAGGTAGTTATAAAGTTTTGAACTGTCTGGTATAAAATTTTGGTTTTTCAGCGACATACCCCCCAAATCATCAATATTTATTAAATTACCCTCCAAATATTAATATTTATTCAAACATTCCCCAGATTTTAAACTTCATGGTATCTACAGCAGGGATTTTAATCGGGCAAGTCTTATTTGGGGGAGGGTGAGAATTTTAACTCTCTCCTGCAACTGTTTACTACTTATCGTTGTTTGGTTTTGGACTAGAAAAATGCAAAGTTAAGATTTGGGGACATTTTATAACTATCAAAATTTGAAGGGTGATTTAAGAAATATTGATGATTTGGGCCGCATGTAGCAAAAACCCCTTGCTATTTTCTGTGCAGTGAGAATAGTTGCTATGCTACTTTTCTTTCTGACTTTTGATCTTTAAATTGAATTAAAACCTAGGGAAAAGCACTCAATGCCGTGGCATCTCCCAATGTTAAAGTCATTGTCGTAGGGAATCCGTGCAATACAAAGTATGAACAGAACTTGTATCTTTTTTTTTCATACTAAATAATGTAGCTCATCTCATGCCCTCTGATATTATTGCTTTTTTACTAGTAACATATTTGAATGTTTTTGCAGTGCACTTATTTGTATGAAAAATGCACCGAAAATACCTGCAAAGAATTTCCATGCCTTGACGAGGTTAGATGAGAATAGAGCCAAATGTCAGGTAGACAATTGTAACATTTCTATGTTTACATTTTTATTTATGGTGATCTATTAACCTGAAGTTTGGTATCTACAGCTGGCCCTTAAAGCAGGTGTATTTTATGATAAAGTGTCAAACATGACAATCTGGGGAAATCACTCAACCACTCAGGTGAAGTTATAAATCTAAATAATCATTTCTTAAATGGTAACAACCTATCTTGAGAGAAATCGAAGATTAAAAATTAAATCAAAATAGTGTATGTAATCATTCTGAAATTAGTTGTATTACTTTATGGCAGGTTCCTGATTTCCTTAATGCCAAAATTAATGGTAAGCCAGTAAAGGAAGTTATTACTGATCATAAATGGTTAGAAGAAGAGTTCACTGAAAGGATTCAGAAGGTAATTTTTGAAAGAGAAAGAAATAGTATGCAAATTACATTTGTTGTATAGACGATGTTTAAATAAGTTATTACTTATTTGCAGCGAGGAGGGGTGCTTATTCAAAAATGGGGTAGATCTTCTGCTGCATCAACTGCAGTTTCTATTGTTGATGCGATAAGGTCCCTTATCACTCCAACTCCTGAAGGTGATTGGTTTTCTTCAGGGGTAAGTTTTAATGTACAAAAGTTTTCGCTGTTGAGTGGGCTTTAGGCATTAGAAGTTAATATATGTAACTATACTGTGCCTAGCTTTTATTTGCACTCTCAAAATACTCTATTAAGAAGTCTGTGCACTCACAGGTTTATACCAATGGGAATCCTTATGGCATCGAGGAGGATATTGTTTTTAGCATGCCTTGTAGATCAAAGGTCTATTAATTTTCAGATTCTTGGACTTATCTCAAATTATTATTTATGAATCATTTCATAAGGAGCGTTGGGTCATTTTTTTAGGGGGATGGTGATTATGAGCTAGTCAAGGATGTAATAATTGATGACTACCTTCGACAACGTATCAAAAAGGTGATTATTAATGGAATATTTTGTTGTTGTTTTTACTTGTAAATTTTGTTATAAGACTGTCAAAATGTTGCGCATTTGGTTTTCTATGCAGTCTGAAGCTGAACTGCTCTCGGAGAAAAGATGTGTAGCTCACTTAACTGGGGAGGTAAGCAGCACACATTATTATATAAGAACCTAATTATTGTTGAGAATTGTATATTATATCATTTTTCGAGATCATATATTACATCTTCTCTTTCCAAATGTAGGGTGTTGCATATTGCGATATTCGTGAGGACACCATGCTACCTGGTGAACAGTAGAAAAATAAAGAGGATGCACATAATAGTATCAGTATCAGTTAGTATCAGTTGTGGAGGAAAATCCTCAAAAGCAAAGTTTCTTCCTCGAAATGAAAGGCTATTCATTGTGATGGAATAGTTATTTATGCAATAAGTGGGAGTTAGGCCTCCATTTGTTGTATAATCGCAAATCTTCTGTGCTAAAGAAATCTTAGTTTTTCATTCTACTGGGTATGTCTTAAAGCATCCCCCACTGTATAATATGGGTAATTTTTTTGGCATCATTTATATGATTTTATGGTAGATAGGTTGCTGATTTGGTACCTCTTTCTCTCAAATAAAACATATCATGCATCTTCTATATATGTGCCTGGACTTCTGTGTGGTGATATGTTTGTCTGAGACATTTTTTGCGCGAAAATATTTGTTCAGAGCGTCTCTCCAACACAATGATGTTGCATCTACAGTATATCCATGTTAGAAAACCATGAGCTCGATATTATTTCTCATGTGCATGATACATGATTTGAGATTTAAAGAAGATACGGTGAAAATTGCATGTGGAGAAAGAAATAACATAGCATTTGATTGATGCTAAACCCTTTTATGCGGATCGAGTATTTGAAGTAGTTGAAATTGCTATTTAGTTCCTCAATCCTATTACTTATCTCAAATGAGTCTCGTCGTCAATCATTCCGTCTGAATTGATAATTTAAGTGTTTGTTAACCACAAAAAATTACATATATGCCCTCAATTTATCGTTGTTAACCATTCATCTATTATCCATTATCTATTACTATTATTTAAGAAAAGCTATTTTCTGACGTTCTACCCTATAATAGTCATCCTTTAAAAGAATTTCCAAACATATATTAAAAATTTTATACACAACTTCCTGTAATTAACAATTTAAAAAGGGACAAGTTTGGTAAAAACATACAACAGTCTTCATAGTTCTTATGAACCTAACCCTTTAGAATTCCTTCTAGTAAAACACAACGAGGTAGCCGTACTGGATCACCATGTTTTCAAGGAGAGGTAATGCTTATGCTTGTTGGGTATTTGGTTGACACTGCTTCACACTCAAAAAGAAGCGAGCTATGTCTGAGCTAAGCTTGGATATTGAAGTCTTCTTTTGTTTTTGGACTCATAATTTACCCCGCTATTTCATAACTAACAAGACATTAACTTCTTCGTAACTACCCTCACTTTTCAAATTCACATACCCTTTACACTTATATTATTTTGTGTGTGTGTGTATATATATATATAGAGAGAGAGAGATGAGCTTATGTCAACTTAAGTGGATAGGAAATAATTAGCCACCAACTTTTTTATCCGTTGATGTTGCCTTAGGATCCGTGAGTGTATATATATATATAGAGAGAGAGAGATGAGCTTATGTCAACTTAAGTGGATAGGAAATAATTAGCCACCAACTTTTTTATCCGTTGATGTTGCCTTAGGATCCGTGA